AAGAAATTAGTATATAAACACACAAAATGAGTATTTTAGTTTAAAAATGTCTATTTTATAATTATAACCTCAAAAAATTAAGAATATAAAAGTTTGTCATAACACACTATAGAAAACTGCTTGGCGATTAGGCAAGGCGAGATTCCAAGGGCACCTTGTCGCCTAGGCGTCGCCTTGACAACTATGACTCTAATCCTCTCACTATATTACACCTTTGTTTTTGGTTATGACATTAGACTAATATTTTATAGCTATTACTAAAGGTGGAGGATATGGAGTTCATAGGGTGGAGACATGGTAATGGAGGAGGTTGTGTTCCTCCAAGTATAGGAGTTGACGTGATGGTAGAAAGCCAGGCGGAGGTCATGAAAGAGGATATGATGGTCGTAGGAAGTGCCTCGACTATGTTCTAGATGGGCACATAATTTTTGTTATGATCTTCACAGCCCACCTTCAGCTGGGCAAATGGTGCCATACTTACTGAGGATAAGTTGCTCCTGTGAAACTATAAGTTGTTTCTTATTTTTTTTTTCAGTTTCCAATGCTACATCTCTTGAGTAGCCATCCTCACAATAGCGTTCTTGAATCCAAAATCATGCTTTTAAATTCCAGCTATGCCCCTTTCCCTAAACATGTCATTGTATTCATGATGTAGGATGGGAAGGAGAAAGTCTTAAAGGGGTGAATGTGGTGGTGAAATAGAGGGAGAACTAAGGATCGTAATAATGAGGAGAATTTCAGATTTGAATATAAAAGAGAGGGAAGAAATAATGCACTTTGAAAATAAAAGAGAGAAGTGGATAGAAATAAGCTAACACTATTACCCTTAGGTAATGTAAAAATAGACCTTTGTTCCATAAATTCAAATTCCAATGTCCAATCACAATAACTATTGATAGACTAAACATGATGGCTTGGATCTCCTTGCATAGACTTCAATTTCAATTAGAAGATTAACCTAAATCAATTTGTAACTACATGGCAACATATACAGGTTTTAATGGAAATCAAACAACTAGCTAGGCAAATGGTGGTCTCTGTTGATTTGAGACTGAGATTGGCAAACTGTTTGGCTGAGATTCATTTGCTCGAATGTTTTGGGGAGTCACTAATGAAAACTGTATATAAAGTTATGCAGGTGAATAAAGGTTGGGGCTTGTTAAGAAAGCAAGCCTAACATCACGGTTTTCCCTCTATTTTTTCTATTTCCCTCTATTAAAAGGAGCTTGTTTCAAGTTTGTGCATAACCGAGGAAAATGCATTTGGAGGCCTTAGGTTCAAACTTGGAATGATGGAGCCCGAGAAGCTGAACGAAACAGGTACAACCAAAGGTTTTAAGGGGAACGGTAAACAACTCATCGTCTGGGCATAGAAGGGAAAAAGGGGTTTTCATATCAAGAACCCGGAAGGAACCCGATTAATGAGATATACTGCCGTAAGTATAGCATCACCCTAGAAGCGAATAGGTACATTGGAGGTAAACATAATGCTTCTAGCCACCTCCAAGATGTGCCTATTCTTCCTTTCGGCAACCCCATTTGCTGTGGTG